ACTGAACTAGTAATTGGTTTTGAAACTGTCTCATCGCTATTTGTTTCTCAATAAAATTGTTAAAAAAAAAAGAAATAAAATCCAGAATGTTGGTTTAAGAGGAAAAAAAAAACTATAAAATTGAATAGTATTATTGTTTTGTGCAACATCTTGGCCCCACTACAATCTGCATTTATATGATATGATTACAAGTAATAGTAGTATGTAAAAAAGAATCTGTGTGTGTGTGTGTGTGTGTGTGTGTGTGTGTTCTTTTGTTCCCTGAAAATGCTGACACCTCAGACATGATTTATGAATGTAGTACCTGGGAGTAAGCAAGCAACAGAGAGCAGGAGTCCAGCCTGTGGAGTGGCATGAGCACCTGCCTGGTAAGCACAAGATCCCAAGTTCAATCCCTGGTACCACAAAAACAAAGCAAAACAAAACAAAAAAACAAGATTCCATCATTTCAAATCTCTTACAAGGTTTTTTTTTTTTTGTTTTGCTTTTTGGGTTATTTTTTGTGCAAGGTTTCACTATGCAACTCAGACTCGCAATGATCCTCCTGATTTCTGGCACCCTAGTGCTGGGATTACAGGCATGTGCCACCACGCCCAGATTCCATTGCTGGCTGAGTGCACCTGGGGGTGGGGCCAGCATGGTGTACGGTGCCAGGGATCAAACCCTGGCCCCTGCGCTTACCTAAGCAAGCACTAAGCCCGCTTAACTCAAATCTCTCATAAACTGCTTTAATTTTTTGTTTTGAGATGGTCTTGCTATGTCGGCTGGCCTTGAACGTGCAATGATCCTCCTGCCTTGGGCTCCAAGTGCTGGGATTATAGGCTACCCAGCTTACAGTTTAATTTTTTAAAGTGTTTTTAATAAATTCCAAAAATATCTTTTAAATTACAATGCATCCAGCCAGGCATGGTAGCACATACCTATAATCTGAGCACTCAGGATCCTGAGACAGGAGGACTGCTTTGAGTAGGAGGCCGCCCTACCTACAGAGTGATACTTTGTCTCAAAAAATAAAAATAAAATGCATCTTTAGGCATCTGTGTCTTCAGTGTCGCACTGATCAGTTCAGGGGCAATCTGGCTTTCTTCATGCCCTCATCTGTTTTCCCATCTCCAACAACCCAGATTATTTTGAAGGAAATATCACTCCAGATCACTCTAGCTCCAAGTATTTTTAGTGCAGTTTAAGTCTTTAAAAGACAAGGACTCTCTTTTCAAACATCACTTTCTCAAAAGCAACAGTGTTTGCCTATTACCTAAATATACTCCATGGGCAGGTTTAGGAATCTAGAACCAAAGGATTGTCCTAAAAACATCCTTTAATCTTTTGTTGTTGTTGTTGTTGTTGTTTTAGCGGAACCCTGGATTGAACTCAGGCCCTTGCACTTGCCAGGGAAGAGTTTATTCCACTGAGCCATCTCCCCAGCCCCTCTAAATCTTATTTTATTGTTTTCATTTGGGTTTGTCTTATTTCTCAGACCTAGACTGTCAAAGGTTTACGTGTTGTAATTGAATAACTTGTCCTGTATCAGCAAAGGATTTTCTTAGTTTCTTTTTCTTCTTAATTATTTTAGCCTTTATCTTTAAATGAAAAGTGAAGAATTGTTATGTGGGAATAAAGCAACCATCTCTAAAGGAAGCACAGCTCCAAAACTGGCCCGTAGAGGCTGTGGAAATGCCGAGTCACCGCTCTGCCGCTGGGCCGCCAGACACTGCCTGGGTGATAAGGAGCTCGTGCCCCAGCCACCCATAAACACTTCAGCAGCCACAGAGCTTGCCCGCCTCCAAAGGGCTCTGCAGCAAATGGGAATTGAAAAGGTAGGAATGTTGTAGGTCTGAAAATAGGATGGGTTTTGTTTTGGTTTGACCTGAAACAGAGCCTCAGTAATTAGCACAGGCTGGCCTTGAATTTATAATCCTCCTGCCTCAGCCTCCCCTCTGCTTGGATTAAAGGTTTGCACCAACACACCTAGTGTCCTTTCTTTATTCCAATTACAGCCTGCCAGGCAGGCACTTGCACTGCTAAGCTATATCCCTTACCCTATAATTTATAATTCTAAGCCTTTAAGGCCTTTTTATTTTCAAGGTTCATTCATTCCATTCTCTTCAGTGCATTTCTAAAAACCAAAACAATTAAATAAGATACTAAACCCAGGCTTCTTCCATTTCTCATCTTTGTCTTCCCCTCTAAAAATATTCAAGTTCCCTTTTTTGTTGTTTTTTGATGGGGTCTCACTATGCAGTCCCACTTGGTCTTGACTCACTATGTAGCCCGAACTGGCCAAGAACTCATGGTGATCCTCCTGCCTCGGCCTCCCAAGTGCTGAGATTACAGGTGTGCATCCCTACACCTGGCCCCAAATTCCTTATTTTGTTTTTAGGATGAAAAGAAATGTGTGCACAAATGTAGCCCAGAGTAATAACCACCAGGTACTAATAGAAATGGTAGGAAGAGGCCACAGGACAGTGCTGCTGGAGTTAAGAACTGGGATGGAAAGACACAAGCTGCCCTTGGCCTCTCAGCCTGTGAGCAAGGACAGTGAGCTGCAGGCAAGTGAGAAGGTGCAGGCCCCATGGAGGCGCAGGAAGGAGCAGCTTTTATTTTTGTTGTAAAGACAGGGAGGGGTCACCTGTCATCATCATAATTTTACCACCAGAAGGGATTTCCTGCGGTACAAGGCAGCAAGCCTGTGCCGTGAAGGTCACACCTCTTGCAAGGTAGCTATTTCCCTCTCTGAAAGTTCAGGAAACTTGAAAATCGTGTCTGACACGGCCTTGTGCATAATCAGTTCCAGTAAGACAATCCGGTGGTGAATGAACTCAACGGAGATTAATCTGAAACTGGACTCTGATCCCCCAGTGATCCAGCCGGTGTAGCCCAGTCTCTGCTTGGCCCGACAGAAGAAAAACAAGCTGGAGAGTCTATCTCCCCTGCGATCTGGCTGGATAGGATCTCAGCTCTGAATGGGGCCTGAGCTCGTTTCGGACGCGTGGTGCGTGTTGAACAGCACTAAGCCCGGAGCTTGCTGGGGCCTCACCCACTGAGTGGGCAGCAGACTTGGGAGGATCGAGTTCTGGCCTTGTAACGGCCAGGGGCCGGGGAGATGGCTCAGTGGAATAAGTGCTTCCCTGGCAAGCGCAAGGGCCTGAGTTCAATCCCTGGTTCCACAAAAAAAAGCTTCCACTCCTCTTAGGTTTCTCTCAGATAAATGCAAAAGCTAAACAAGCAAAGCACCTGAGGGTTATACATAGCGGAAGATATTGCTTATATTACTAAAGCATTCTTCAGTTTAAACAATTCATTACAGTGTTTCTTTTCGATTGTGCCCCTTCCCTCCAGTTAGAATCCAGAGAGTGAGGCTGAGGCTCAGGGGGCAGCTCAGCAGAACAACATTTGCCCAGGATGTGTGAGGCCCTGGCTTCAATCAAATACAATGACAACTTTTAAAAACCCAGGGCTTCCCAGGTTATGGTGCCACATGCCTGTGATTCCAACACTAGGGAGGCTGAGGCACTAGATCTACAGGAGTTTTTGGCCAGCTGAGGCTACATAGTGAAATCCTGTTTCAGAAAATCCAGAACTTTCTCCAAGCACCTTTCCGTTACTCTTCTGGTCTTTGAAGGAAAGGAAGAGAGCACTCCAGTGAAGCCATTTCCCTAACAACATGCTGCGCTGTTACAGTTGTAGAACACTCTGGGACTTGCTGTGGTATTGTAGGTCAGCCTAGTATAAGACGCTGCAAAACATTGAGGCAGGAGGATCACTGAGAGGGACTGAACTACATTTCAAGACCCTGTCTCAAAAGCAAAAACATCACCTCCTAGCACAATGGTCCTTGCCTGTAATCCCCATCTGCTCAGGAGGCTGCAGTAAGGACTGCAGTGATCCTCCCGCCTCAGCCTCCCAAACGCTGGGATTATAGACAACATCCAGTAATCTGCCCTTGTTCCTGTGATTGACATCTGACTGTTTGCTCTTGGATTCTTAAATTCCTAGAGAGTGCGCGCCGGCTGCTTTTGTTAACAGGCCAGGCCCGCGGCCCCGGCCAAGAGAAAAACCAACCAGGTGCAAAGACTTACGCCGCCTGGGCCCGGAAAGGGGAGGAAACGCAGGGGCAGGTAGGTGTCACTGCGCTCCTCCCGGAGGGAGATAGAGGGCCGAGGGAGAGATGGGAGATTTGCTTCCAGGGACATAAACACACGGGTTAAAGAGAAGGCCCTCCAGGATGGACGCCGGGCCTCCCCGCCGGGCCCCCGCCGCCGTCCCCGCCGAGCGAGCGCGGGTGCCCGGCACCTCCTGCTCAGCAGCCGCTGTGGTCCTCACGCCTCCTTTTCCGAGCCGACGCTCGCGTCCCCGGGGGACCCGCGCCGGCCTCGGACCTGGAAGGGGCGGGGCTCGGCTCCGCTCCACGCCCTGGCC